CGGAGAGAGATTGAGAGAGAACTCGAGATATGATATTTCTTTACAAACAGAAATATGTCGGTAGCGATCTCAGTGGGATCAAGTCAAAATGGTGTGTGAGAGACACAGTAAAACTCAGAACTTAAGGATATGCCGTTAGGAGTATCGATAAGGAAGAATACCAGACAGTAAAAGTATGTCTCTGAATTATACGCTGTATTTTTCATTCTTATTTACAAGAATCGGCATTTTGGTTTGTAGGAGCCAAAGACTCGATTAAACATAAAGTGTAGAGACAAGTGATTTACAGTTTATATTCTCAATAGAGTATCCAAGTAAAGCAATAAATGGAAAAGGATCTTGTCATTCTTATATGACGGAAGGTGTGTAAGAAATTGCCAGCTGGACCGACATAGGATAAAGCTAGTGTCATTCTCGGATGGAGGACATAGTACACATTTATCATGTCTGGTGGGGGGAATTGAATTCGCTTCGGAACATGAACCTGAGAGTAGACTGAGGCGCTTACTCATAGGATGCAAAGATGATGGCACCTATTCTGAAGAATATATGAGATGGGGAAAGATTGTTGAGAACTCAAGAAACTGTTAGCATACTTTTTGGATTCTTTCATTGTATATTGGTACTCCGGGAGAGGATCTCATAGAAAGATCGAGAGGATTTACAATTGTTGACTCGAGGATTTACCATAAAGCGGCCATAGCAATTACTTGTAAAATCCCCTTTTTGAGACGGGCAAATGCTAAATGTTACCTCCACCGAAGAAAGGGGTCTCCAAACAAAGATTAACGGAGACAGAGATAATTATCAACGATGAATTACCGCTGAAGATCCTAAAGAAAAAAGAAACTTCAGCATGGGTAGATTATAATTTATCTCATTTGAGAAAAATCCCCCAGCACAATCAGTTATAATGGACGGCTTGGTGAGGTCTTAAGACCTTCGGGGAGACTCTGATTCAGGGCTTCTCAAGATTCCCGAAGATACGAGGCGTATTTTGCTGAACGAAGTTTGACTGAAGTCTTGGCAAGCTCGTAATGAGCATTCTTACTTTCTCCGAAGAGGATATGATGCTGAACTGCAGACCATAATCGTCCTCTTGTACGTTACTGCAGAGAGCGATAGCTGATCATCAGTCGATTCTGATCGATCCTGGATCCTCCATAATCTGATACAAGCTTGAAAGCACTGAGATCCCTCTGGCCTTGATGTGGAACACTCGGGCCAGATAAGCTTGATGTAGATGGTTTCAACGAAAAAGGGAAGAAACCTTGATCATCATGCTCCCTCTTGTATTTGGAGAGCTCCTCAGACTAATTCATGTGATCGACGCGGATACTTCATTCAAGGCGCTACTTAGGCCGTTGGTTGCATGAATAGGTATTTGCCCGTCACATTGCACCCAGTGTATGAAATAATTAAAACGATGGAGAAGAATTCAGGATCTCTGGTGACTTCAGCTTTCACATTCATGAAGCAACAGTTTAATGAAGATGCCGGTATTTCATGCAACAGAAGCAGAAGTCTTCGAGCTCCCTGAAGCTAGAGCATCTCAACTCAAAGGCTGAAGCGACCTGAAACGAGAAGGATAGAGAAAGCATGGGAGAAGAAGCAGTGCCGACTCTTTCCAAAATGCTGACATTCAAAAGAAAAGAAGCATGTACCTCACTTGGGAGTGACACAGATGAGATGTGATACTTTCCTGCAATTCGAAGAGTATGCAGTCCACGGATGAATGGAGTAGGCAGGTCGATATTTTCAATGAGATTATGACTACCGACTCCATTTACATAATCGGTGCTAGAGTTTGTTTCTCCAGAAGAATAGACAGCCTGTCGATTTCAACCAGCGTCCTCGTAGTCACACGTGTTCCTTACAACACTTCAAAGAAAACCTATTTCGCGCGAGAATGCATAAAGTTTAAGAACTCGACTCTCTAATCTGCCTCCCGTAAAAGTGGGATTGTGCAAAGAATGGTGTTATATTTCACGGGAGTTTCGTGAGGAGGAGAATCATGACTGGGATTACATGATCCTCGCTTTGAGAACTCGAAGAATTGTATATTTTTACTAGTTACGGGAGGCTACCTAAAATGTTTCAGAATAATAAATTAAAAGAAATTAATATATTGATTTTGAGCAGAGAGAAATGACATTAACGAATGCTATAAGTCAACTTAATTCCTACTACATTAAACTGAACTATCTCAACTATTCGTACACATAGTTCTGAGGAAATGCCTCTTGAGGTGATGATAATATGGCGTGGATAGAAATCCACTGTGTTTCCACTACGATGGGAGAGTATAGTGAACATTCGTAGATAACATCAAATAAAAGATAATATTACATCTTGAATTATCTCGCACTTACTCACTCAAATGCTCGCGAGAAATGTCCCTCGGAAAGCAGATTATTAGTTCCGCTGCAACACATGTAAACGATGTGGCTCAATTTAGAGGTAGATACTCACAACGGAGAAAATTGCGGAGGACGATTGATAAGTTTGTGCAGGGAGTGACTATATTTAACGAGGCTTTGTATATCTGGACTTCAAAGTAGCTAATGATGGAAGTCTTTGATTGGGATTGGATAGATGAATCCATGCTCCACTCTCGTAAGTCAGAGTCCAAACACAACTGCTCTAATTGGGACACCCTTTTAGACAACAGAGTAGAGAAGACTTTAGAAGAATAAGGTTCCATGGGAAAGATCAGGAGGGCCACTATTGGAATAGATGAATTGATGAAAGACAATGATGTTTGGAAGTCTTTCCATAGTCGAATTGACATCGATTTGGAGGAACGTAGGCAAGGAGAGAACACTCCGCCCTAAATTTTAGTTGTAAATGGATTCTTTTCAATTTAGAAAATCTCATAAACTCCACAAGGGAGAATTAATGATACAAAGGGCAATATTAGAAGAAGAAATTAAGTAACTTTTCTAATCAATGAATCTATTGCTCGGGACTCTCTAAAGCTTTTGCTGGACATATGCTGAGATTGCCTGTGGGGTCTTACTTCCACCTGGACTCATTTAAACAAAGGAAGCGCATTAGATTATAAAGAAGACGGTGGTTCCTGGTTCCAACTACGATTAGCATCAAAAAACGGGGATGTCACCACATCTCTCGTTTCACAAAGAACAAGCTCAAGGATAATGAGGTTGGAACTCTTGTTAAGTATATCAGATAGAATGAGCACTTTCAGGAGCGTCGAATTCATGGATGTCTTAGAACGAAGAAGCTAATAGGATGCAGGTTTATTCGAGAAGAAAATACGCCGACTGGATTGTCAATATGTACCGCTAGTGCAACACGAGAGATGAGAAATGCTAGGGAAGACTACATTCCTTAGAGTGGCAGAAACTATCTCTCGTCATTTGTATTGAAACACTCATATTCAGGTAGGACCTGATGTTCAAACACAAGGCGTCGCCGCAAAGAGCAGATTTTTTCCAACTCTCTGTAATAGATTCAATACATCCTGCGTGATTTGACTCAACATCTAGTAATTGAAAAAGAAATTCATTATGGTAAATTAATCCGCAGCTTATCGCACGTTGTTCATCACTCGGTATAAGAAAGGTTTTGATCAAGTGGACTTTTCTCATTGGCATTGATTTTGGGTTTTACGTTCCTATTTTTGAGTCAATTAAATTTTAAAAAGATTAGTGAGCCAGCTTGAGCTGAATAGTATGATATAGATGGAAGAAAGTCACAATTACCATTCGTTTGTTAAGGAAGGCTTCTTCATGGCTCTACATATCTTACGGAGGGTGTGAATTTTCTGATGCTATAATGTCGTTTAATTTAAATGGTCAACATAGTGACCATTTGAGGGTCTTGTTTACGAAATATGTAACAAAGGTCGCTTTGATTCTAATTGATTGATTGATGACCAGATTGTCTAGAGATGTTATTTTAGAAAGATAGCAAATTGAGCTCTTACCGTTTTATTTCAGAATGTATACATTATTTTATGTATATAATAGTTATATATGTGGCCAAGTGGGAGATTGTTGGGAAATTTCTATATGTGGCCATATATTTATACATATAATAAAGAATTTATACATTAGACGCTATCTAAAATTAAGCCAATTAAATTTGTGATCTATTTGAGTATTAAATTATTATTTGGCTTATGTGGCATCTCAATTAATTTTGTATGGAATTAATTTGTGTAGAGGCCGGGTATTTATTTTATTTTTATGATGGGCTGAAATAAAATATTTACACTTAAAGTATATAAGGGTCATGGTCCCCAGTTTAAGCGGTTAAGTTCTCATTTCTCTCATTTCCCATCTTGAGTGAAAAGAAGGGGTCTCTCGCTCTCTTGGAGAACGCCGCTCTAAACGTGGAAGATCGAAAGACCTTAATTCTGCTTTTCAATGGATTCAGGTACGCTTCCGAAAATTCTTCTCGATGATTTGGCATGTCGTTCGGAGACGATCGATTTGTTATTTTCGTCTCCAGATAATCCTAACACGATCTCCATTACCCTACCACCCATTTTATCTTTACCTAAGGGGATGCTTGGCTGCAGGATTTAGGTTAAATTCTCCCCCCCACACACACACATAAATTATGCTATATTCGTTAATCCCAATTTTCTCCTATTTTAAGTTAAATCTTTGAATTCAGTGAATTCTGTTGGAACATTGTTGTTCTTCTTCTCTTTTATTTAAATTCTAAATTTTTTACGTGTATACGAAATACTTTACTAGGATATAACCAAATTTAACCACTATTATGACAAACAAATTTCAAAATATAACGCTTTAAGAGTTTTTCAAATTTAGATTTACAAGATATACTAAAGCCTATTTGAATTAAATTCTAATTGTAGCCAATCAGCTCCTCATGTGTTAAGAAAATGCTATTTTTTTCAGTAATTTTATTGGAATTCAAGAAGGTTTCTTCTCTATTCGCTTCAATGAAACTTTTTTAGTATTTCAATTTCATCTGGCTAAATTTAATATGGAAAATTTCAGGGATATGCTGCTAGGGAGTTTGCAAGGCTTGGCGTCAAGTTAGGGGAGTTGGGAATTATCTCAAAAGAGGCGGTATGATCTTATTTTTCAAGATAGAACCAGCTCCTAAAGTGGTACTTTGGTTGATTTTCTGGTTAAAAAATTGCACGCTTGATAGATGGATTTTACTCATTTTCATGAAGTACGGATTTTTTATGGCAAATTCTGTTTTTTTTTTTTTTATTGTGATCTTGTTGACTTTCGTAGCAATTTTAGGGCATTAGCATGAACAGTGATGTCTGTCATCTTTTTTGTTGTGCTCCCTATAAAGGATGCAAAGTCAGCTTTATTTCAAAATAGGTTTCTATTTGAAAGTTGTCAATTTTTTAGTGGAATTAATTTGAACATCTTGTTAAATAACTAAAAATTAGAAACTACAGCGTAATAAACTATTACTGCAGTATTTCATTCATTGTATGTATTAGATAAAATTGCAATTACCATTCTTTATTTTTTTCTTCTTGTGTCTCATTTTGTGGATATATGTGAAAGTTTAGGTGGGTTTAGAGTGTAGACTATAGTAGAGAAGAATGTGTGAGATCTTTTGTTTCATGTGTGTGTGGTGTGGGGGTAGTGTGGAAGGATGAGGCTGTATACTTCAGTATTTATGAGATATTTTATTTTGATGTTCATGTGACCCTGAGATTGAGCATGCTTATTTAGGTGGCTTTGACGACTTTATCTTGGTGAATTCAATGTGTTGATCTCTCTTAGCTGGCCGACTAACATTGTACTTGACCCACATCGATCAACGAGAGCATCCGTCCTAGCCTAGGTGAATTTGGATGTGCTCTCTCTTTAAGCAATGTATCACTAACATCAATCATTACACAAGTGTACAAATATCAAACAAAATTTTATGGGTATGTAATTGCAATGCTGAATGTGAGAGCATAAAACTTTAAGCACAAGAGAGCACATCCAAATTCTATAGAAGCTTACCATAATATTGATTACAACATTCACTACTTGAAAATTGTACCACATTTAATTAAAATAATAAGTAAATAAATATGCAAGAAAATTAAATTAAATTATAGAGTGATAGAAACACTATAATTTTTATGTGGTCCATCCAACCCTAATGCCTACATCCATGCAAAGCTAATACCTTGACTATGATTCCCATTGCTATGAGCTTGTCTCACAAACTTCCTCAATGGTGAAGAAGCCTTATACTATCTTCCTTAACGGGCAAGAGCACCAAAACAACTAACCTTGATAGGCTTAGGCAATCCAATCTCAAAACTAGAGAAAACTTCAAAATCAAAGTCCCTTTGAACTTTTGACAGTGCTTAAAGGATGTTACATTTTCAAATAAAATTTACCATTATTAAATACAAGAAAGAGATAATAAAATATAAACACTCACAAAAGGTCAGAGGTAGGACTGTTGGAGTAAAGATCATAGTAAATTGAGCTCTCAAGAGATTGATAATGAACATGTTATGCACAAAATAGTTTTTTTCTCCAAAATCTCCCTTATAAGTATTTTGCATGTTGGAGTAAAGTGGATTCATTGATTAGCCTTTATAAGCTTACAAATCTACCATAAACCTTTCCTGATGACTAGTAGCTAAACCTAAAAAACCATCTTTTGTAATAGGAATTAAGCCATTAAGTATAACATATGTGCTTTATTAACTCTAATATTTCATAATTATGTGATATTTTAAATATATCAAATAATCTTCTCAAATATCGTGTAGAAAAAATATATTTGGTATTAGGCTATCATAAGAATTTCAAGAAAAAAAAAATAAAAATCTAGTGCTATTAAAAAATTCACAAGAGCTATGAGCTAACCATCTATAATCAACAAATTTAAGCATTGTTGGTGTGTAAATATGAAATTGAATGATATTATAAAACATGCACAACATAAAGTTTTAAATGATAATGTATTTAATTCCACAATGAAATAAATTTTTACTGGAAGAATACTAATTATTATAATTTATATAAATAATAAATGCTAATAAATTTGATAAATAGAAAAGAAATTCAATTAAATTCCAAAAAATCATAGAATTTGTTGATAAATAAAAGAATGGCTGAAGTGATATTTATTAAAGATAAGGTAATTAAAAATATAGTTAATGGTTTAGACATTATATAATGAAGGGTAAAAATTTCACTATTAAATTGATAAATAAAATTAATATTTAATGATTGAATTTATTAATAAACGATTTGGGAAGAATATGTTCAACTCCTAACACAATACTTTGTATGAATGAATAGAAAATTTTGATTAAAAAGTGGCCCCAAATAGTTGAGACAATGTTAATCATCATGACATTTTGCAGTTTATTGCCTTTGTAATCCCCTAATTTACAAATAGCTATATAACAGGTTCTCTACTATAAATTATCATCTTATTTGCTCCTCATTCTTTATATTGCTTTTTGGTGCCACATAAAAGGGCTTTGACATTCTAAGGACTCCTTCCTATCACAGAGAACTATAATTTGCTTGAAGAATGGTCCAAGAATCTCCAATCCTTCAACCTTTTAGCACTAACCCATGGATTTTACTCCAACTAAGACATGATAATAAAGTGCCCTCTAAAACCCTTACTTAAAGGGGGCAATGAAGGAAGGTCAATGCTTAACATAGCACTCAACAGTTGCAGCTAACTCAGTTGGATAAACGACAAATTTTGAATCTGGTGGTGACTCCTTATGGTAATGACTTTGATATCAACAATGGATCAAGCCAAATAGCCTAACACCTGAGCCTAAGTTTTCTTTTTTGGCAAAGCTGGGTTGCTTGACCCTAAACCAAGCTAAGAACTAGATCCTCTCTGAAATTTACAATATTTTGCTAATTGTAAGAAAAAAAGACCTACAATAATGGATCTCTACCAAGCTAAGGATAAAGGGAAAAAATTGAAGGCTATGCTTTTGGGACTCTAGCTTTTAAGTTCCTCCTAAAAATTTAACTACCATCAAAAGCAGTGATCCACTAATTAAGCCTTTCTCGATGAGCATCAATTCATGTCATACAAATGTAATTCCTAATTGCCTTTTGGTAAATTGTCTTAACAACCAAAAAATTTTAAGGCCTCATGGGAAAGACCTAGTTGCGAGCACTAAGGCATGACATGTGTGTGTCCAACTCAAAGATCCACTGCTGAGAGGTTCTGCCAAATATAAATCATCAAAGAAAAAAGTCAATCCTTTAGGCACTTGTGATGTCAATTGACACTTTTAGGATTTTTCCCAAAGAAAAATGAAAATGAAGATCAATGATCGATCTCTCTTGAGGGATCTTAACACTTCATTCATTGAAATTTAAGATGCGCTTTCCTAGTTCAAAGTGGCAATTATCTTGATCTTGCCTCGATCATCGTGCCAAAATTATTGGAGATGTTAATTTGAGGTTGAAACTAAGAATTTGGAGGACCCTCACTAGAATAATCCAAACCGATTGAACTAACGATTGTCGATTCTGTTAGTTGAACATGAAGAAGACGAAGGGAGCTGTAGGATTTCATTTCCTCACATGGAGTTGCGAGGAGGCGAAGGGTACCTTTGCGAGGAAGACGAAGGAACTTTCGATTCATTCTCACACGAGGAGGTGAAGGGATGGAAATTTCCATAATCGTGTGATGGAGAAGAAGGGTATGATCACAAGAAGTTGCAGATGTGGAGCTAAAGGGGGATGGTTCGGTCCCTTTAAATATGGAAAAAGGAGGGGATGGAGGGGGATTACGAATGAGTTGTTGAGGGTGGAGACTAATCTAAAAGAAGGCGGGTGCAAACTAGAGAGTGAGGGAGTTCGAGTAGCATTAGGCGATTGAAGAAGAAGTGGAATGTTAGTTTTTTAAGTAATTTATTTATTATTTATTTTAAAAAAATTTAACTTAATTTTTTAACAATATTATTTTTCTGAAAGGAGAAGAGTAGAAAATAAATTGATTATTTTATGAGAGGAGTGAAGTTATGGAATCTAATTAATTATGATATATTTATAATTTAAATAAGAGAATATATATATATAACTATTTAGATATTGTCTCATGTGACGGTTGTATTAATTATATAAAATGATAAAATATGGTAATGTGTCATATATAGATATGCATGATATTTATGGTCATTCTCAAAAGAAATTTTAAATAGAATTATTTTATTTTTTATTTTGTAACAAGCTTGCATATTGTTCAAATTACAATGGTGTTACTATAATTTAGAATGTTGTGCTCTTGCTAAGTTGTGTTGTGATTCAACCCTACGGTTTGTAAACGTGCACTAATATCATATGAAGAAATGTAAATGAGTAGAAGAGGATATAATATATACCGTATGCATGTTGCTCTGAGAGAAAATTATTAATTTGAAACAGTTATAATATTTTTCACTAAGATACATTTCAGTTTCAGTGCCCTTTAGCACATTGGAAATACTTTGTTGTTAGAAATTTTAGCGAACATAATTTTAAATAACCATCCGACCGTCTATTCCAGCCTCTTTAATTCAAGCCTCCAAGCTCATCGTGAAATTGACTTTTTGTAGATCATAAAAATCTTTATGGTCAAACGTTGAGTCATATTGTCAGCTATTAGAATTGATGTGATGGCTCATGAGGCTACCCATTCCTCTCCCAAGAGACCAACCTCCATTAGAACACCAAGACTGAGAACAATTGGCTTAAGTCTAATTATGCTTGGGTATTTGCATTCATTGGAGGTCTCAAACTAAGAATATAAAGTATTCAAAAGAGAGTGAAATTTTTGGGTAGTGCTTAATCTATTAATGTGATCCGCCTTTGAAAACTTTTCTTCTTTGGTTCCTTTCACGGCACCCGCTATGCATTAAATAAAAGCTATTTTTCATGATTTTAACTCATGAACTGTACGTCACAATGAAAGTATTCTAATTTATATTCATGACATATTAAGGTTTTCTTCAATGGTCCGCATAACTTAATCCACTTTTGATGCCTTTCAGATTTATGTGATGATATTTAGCTATTGCTGCATTGTTGCGTAACTTTTGTTTGTTTTTGGCTATTCTTGGCCAGTATTCTTATTTACATTTGCTTTCTTAAATTTGCATTACAGTCGTTATGAAGTTGCTAAGTAACTGAATGCTTTCCTATTGTCTGTTTTTTTTTTTTTGGGTTTCAGACTGATAGTTTCTTCAAGACAAGCGTCCCTAGTGTTTATGCAGTAGGTGATGTAGCAACCTTTCCTTTGAAGTTATACAAAGAGTTGAGGAGGGTAGAGCATGTTGATCATTCAAGAAAATCAGCAGAGCAGGCTGTAAAGGTATGATTGCAACTTTTAGCTTCTGAAATGTACTTCTGGTCTTGAACTTTGTTAGTTCTCTTTAGGCTGCGTTTGGGATGGCTTTTTTATTGTTTCCTAAAGCAGCTTTCAAGTATAAAATTTAAATTTTTTAACTAAAAAGCTGTTTTAAGAAATAGTAAAAAAGCCGTCCCAAACGAAGCCTTAACCTCTTATGGACAGGCTATCAAGGCAAGCGAAGCAGGCCAAACTGTAGATGAATATGATTACCTGCCTTACTTCTACTCTCGTGCATTTGATTTATCCTGGCAATTCTATGGAGACAATGCTGGTGATGCAGTTCTGTTTGGCGACAATAACCCATTGTCTGCGAAGCCAAAATTTGGTTCTTATTGGATTAAAGATGGTAAGGTTGTTGGTGCATTTCTTGAATCTGGTTCTCCTGAGGAGAACAAGGCCATTGCAGAGATAGCCAGGCTCCAGCCACCTGCACCAGACTTAGAGCAGCTAAAAAATGAAGGTCTTTCATTTGCATCAAAGTTTTACAAAAGAAACTTGCGCAAGAATATTTCAATCAAAAATTGATTGTTATAGATTTTGTTATCGAGGCTTTAAAGTCATTATGCAAGTATGATAATATATATAGTAGTGATATTTGAGATTTTTTTTTTATTTTTAATTCTTCTATGCATGATGAAATAGACTGATCTGATCTGATTAAAATTTTTAATCATTTATTTTTCATTTAGAGCTTTCATAAAATATCAAGAGCATTCCTTATCTAAAAAATTTGGTGAGTGGTTGAAATGATGTGATTTTTTTCTGTCTGTGTTCCTGTTTTCGAAGAATCCATGCCTAAAAACAAGTTACGTTGGAGTGGCATTTCATTGATGTAAGGTGATTTTGTTACCTCTGGGAGATTTGAATGGTAAGCATCCTCTGATGCACCGAACAGCTTCAAAGCTTGTGAGCACTGTGTTGGATTATTGTCAATTCTCCTGATATTATCCATCAGAAGCTTGAGCTGGGAAGCATGGAGATCTCTCTCATTTTGGAAGATGAGTTCATCTCTCTGATGAACCTGAGAGATTCATGGAAGGGGAACCACTACAAGGATTTTGAGTTAGAGGGGCTAAAAATAATGAGAAGTGAATAAGGCTTTCAGTGCTTTGATACAATGAGGAAAGTTGAATGAGGAACTGAGAAGAAGGGTTACACAATGATACCATTAGTCTTGTCATTGCAGTTCAAGCTGAATGCAGTAATATGTATGTGGTTACAGGATTGATGAGAGGTAGTTATGCTGCGTAGAATTTTTTTTTGTAAATTTCTTTGCTAATTGCTGTGACTAAGGCTTCATTTGGGACAGTTTTTTTACTGCTTCTTAAAGTTGTTTTTTAGTACAAAAATTAAAAGTTTCATACGAGAAAGCTGCTATAAGTAGTAAGAAAGCCGTCACATGCTTCATTTGGGACGACTTTCTTACTGCTTTTTAAAGCAGCTTTCTACAAAAATTAAAATTTTTGTAGTAAAAATTTACTTTAAGAAGCAATAAAAAAGTCATCCCTCGTTTGAGACGGCTTTTTATTGCTTTTTAAAGCAGATTTTTAGTATAATAATTTTAATTTTTTATACTAGAAAATTGCTTTAAGAAGTATTAAGAAAGTTATCCCAAACAAAATCAGGTGGCTTGAGTTCTGTGTAGAAGGCTATGCAGCTGCAACATGTGGAAGTGGTTTTCTTATATTGGCATAGCTTTTCCTTGGCCCTTAGAATCTTATAAATTCAAGGTCAAAGGATAATAATATAATTGTCAATGTATTATATTATACTGTAACTCTTTTGTCTTTTGCATTGATAGTATAGTGTATGAAATTTCTCTCTCTAGAATCTCTCCTTTCTCCCTCTCTCTCTCTACCTTATATTATTCTTTTATGGGCGAATTTGAATCTAATAATGAATAATATATTTATATAAGGTTAAATGAAACAGCTTGATTCAAAATAGTTGAATATTACCTTGCTTTAAGACATTTCTCTCCTAGCAATCTTTATTTTTTTGATGTCTTCGACCATGTCACTAGGGAGCTGTTGGAAAACTTCATTTAAGTAAATAGTATGGCTAGTCTTTAATTAATTTATTTTTATCTAATTAGCTAATTTATTATCATTGCTCGAAAATTATTTTGATGGAGCTTGAAGCATATCTGAATTGAAAATTTTTAAAATTAAATTTAGGGCCATATGAACTCCGATTTTAGCGATTTTTTAGTCAAATAGAACATCTAGATGAGGACCTAATGACACCAAAACATGATTCAATTCGAGCCCAAATCAAGGTTCTATAGCGTATTTGAAAATTTTAGGACATTAATTGGATGACTAAATGATCATCAATTTTGATATGTTTATAGTTAGGGTTGTAAAAAATAGATCAAACCCGCCAACCTGACCCGAGCTTGACCTGTAAATTTTGGGTTCATGTTAACTTGTTTAATATAAGGGTTAGGTTTGGGTTCATAAATTGGACCCGTTTAATAAACGTGTCAGGTTCAGATTAATTTGCTAACCCAAAATTAACTCAATTTTGACTTGGATCAAGCATATTTATGGGATTTGGTCGAAGAAGCACGTGAAATGGGATCATCGCGATGAGCAAACTCTCTTCATGCATTGACGTTCAATGAAGGTGGTGAACTGGCGAAGAATCTTTGGAGGAGGCAAAGCAGGGTGTCGTCGAGCTGTCTTGACTTCCGAGACAAGGAAACACGACTTGTTGTTACTTTTATTAGATGAATTTATAGGATTTGACTAATGAAGCACATGAAATGCGATAAAGAGATGCTTATCGTCGCAACGAGTGAGCTCCTATGACCCATCAACTTTGGTGGAGGCCAAGTTTGCAATTTTTGTTTCTGGTTAGTGGGTTGAATCGGGTTGGTGGCAAATCGGGTTCGGGCATGAGATTTTAACTTGTTTAGATAAACGGGTCAAGTTTGGATCGAACATATTAAGAGTGGACCAATTTAGATGTTGACCTGAACTCTACCCAAAATTTCACTTTGACACCTCTATTTATAATTAAATCGAGGGTTTCAATGAGACAAATCCGACAAGCTCAATATCACTTAAATTTGATATCATTAATGCACTTAAATTGTTAAATGAATACTTTATAATCAAGGGTATCAATATGGGTTGTCCAATGTCACTCTAAAAAAATTTGTAAATAATCCCCTACTTTCTACATGGGAGGGGGATGAGCTTGGAGTTGGAGCCTGAAATTTGGCCTGAGATTTAAAAGAGCTCTAGGACTCTAAAGCACCCATGCTCCTCGCTACCTCCTGACCATCACCATCAAGCCTTTGTCAACTAGTCATTATGGTCATCCGACCACTGTCACATAACTATGGTCTTATAATCTCCATCGCCAGCCAACTATGACCCTTAGACCATTAATGCGCGACTATGGTCATCACCTACGATCTTTCGTCCATGATCGTTTGACTATAATCCTTTGACCTTCACCATATGCTGACTATGATCATATAATCATCATTATCCAATCACAGTCCCATAACCACCATCACATAACTATGGACTACAGTCCTTTGACCTTCGACGCCCAACTATGATTCTACAATCACCATCGCCTAATTATGTTCCTCTGACCACCATCACTTGACTATAGTCCTGTGGCAATCTTTGCTTGATTATGATCCTTTGCGAACTTTCGTTTGTTTACAGTCCTTTTGACATTTTTCACCCACCGACTATAGTCTTCTAAACTTTGATGCCCACCAACTATGGTCCTCCGACCACTGTCATCCTTCGCCCTCCGACTATAGTCCCTAGATCACCTTTGCCCGCTGACTACAGTCCCTAGATCACCTTCATTGTCCGACTATGATCCTCAGACCTTTGTTGCTCTGTTATAGTTCTCTGACCACTATTGTCCAACTACCATTCTTTTACTATCATTACCCAACTGCAATCCTCCGACCATTTTCGCCAAACTGTGGTCCTCAAACCACAATTGCCCAGCTATATTCTTCTGACCACCATCGTCCAACTACGATCTTATGAACAGTTTTTTTACTACATCCTCAAACCAACATTGCCCATTTACAGTCCTTAAATCATTATCGCTCGAATACAGTTCTTTGACCTCCGTCGTCCGTACACTACTATCCTTCAATCAATGTCATTTGATTATAGTCCTCTGACCACCATAGGAAAAATATATACTCAAAATAAAAAAAAATGATTTTCTATTCTCTTAGCCACAATACTGCTCTATTTACAACAAACTAAGGAATATTTATAGGGTTACTCATCCCCTCTCTCTCTCCATTCTTCAAGCATGAGAAAAAAATGTGTAATGCATATGAAAAGTCGTATATATTGGCTATGTATTATTTCATTTTGATGATAGCAAATATATATTTGAAGGCTCTCATTATTTACACTAAATGATTTTAGGATTATGTGATTGCAGAAATTTTGGACCTCAAAGCATCATTGATCAAATAATTGGATGATAAAGATATTTGAAAGATAATCAAAAGTTTAGAAGATAATCAAGGAGAGCATATTTGTAGTCCTTGGAGTTATTAAGTTTGTAATTATAAAATGATAGCTGAACAAGCTCAATGTTTCTATCTACCAATAAAATTTAAAGGCTTAAAATAAATTTAAATTTTATTTTAATTAATTATATGTGTTAGGAATATAATTAGATTTATTTTTAATTCATCTATAAAGTCATGATAAAATTCCGAAGTCAATTCGATTGAATCGATTAAATTTATATGTTTTTATTATAAAATTTGTGTTTTTTTAATTTTAATTTCATTAAATTTACCTCATTTTTAAAACATGAAATCATTTATTAATCTTTTTTTTTGTCAATGACACTATTTTTGTCGAGTTTCAAGCCTTATTTAAGAAAAATAGAGGGTTGTGTTAGACAGTCGACAACCAGTATAAAAATTATTGAATAATGATCCTTTAATATATTGTTGGTATCAATACATTTGATATATCATCCAAAAATTATATTGATCGGACACGAATCTCAAGGCAAAAATCGAGTTAAAAACTTTAAAAATTAAATTGGAGACTATATGAACTCCGGTTTCAGCAAACTTATAGTCGAACTCAACGTCTCGGAAATATGAACCCAACGACACAAAATTTGACTCAATCCGAGCCCAAATGAGTCTGAATCAAAGACCGAAGCTCATTTGGAAGGTTCAAACTATAATTTGGATTGCCAAACAATTTCCAAACGTGATATGCTTATAGTCGAATCGAGTGGCTCGACGAGGAAAATCCAACGTGCCCAAAATTGCCAAATTCTGATATCATTAAGATATTCAAATGTTCAATAAAAGTTCCATGATTAAGGGATTCAACATCGGTCGTCCATCCAAACCACTCACAATTTACCCTTGATCTTCCTCTATTTATGGGTCATGCCACTCTCATAAAACTATAAATAAATTTCTTATTTCTCATAGAAAGAGACTCCTAGGGGGGAAGAAGGAGGCGCTAGAATTAAGCAAGAAGCAAGAATAGAAGGAAGAGACTCGACCATCGTCGAACTTTCACCTGGCAACCGACCGACGTTGGAGTTCTGCCAGATGGGCAACTGACGTCGGAATTAAGCAAGGAAGCAAGAAGAAAAGTAAGAGAAGGAAGAGACTCTTCTTAAGCCAACGCCGAACTTTCACCCGGCAACCA